AGCTTTCTTGTATGTGGTACTCCAGTCCGCCAATTCTAGCTGTTTCAGCTCTCTAAACTTTGGTCTTATCTCCTCAACTCACTGTCAGTGCCACACTTGGGTTTTTCCTTCCTGCACCAAGATTTGAAAAGTGCCTCCAGGCAGAAAGCTGCGTCAGTTGTAGGTTTTTTTCCCATTCTCCTAAGGATTACAGTCCTGTCTAATTTCTGAAAACATTTGTTTCATACATTTGCTTATTTTTCAGTTTTCTAGTTGTCAACAGTGGGTGGCGGGGGGCAAGTAGAGTTGCAGTTATTCCTCATAGCAGGAAATCTAATTTATTGAAAATGCCTTGACATTTTTATAAGCACTCTTAGACAGAAACAATGCTCTTGTCCATTAAAATTTTAATTGGACCAAATAAGTTATCCAAATCACTTCATGGAAAAACTAGAAAACTGCCTAAACCTAATTCCACCCACCTGAAAATGGGCCGATATCTTACATACTCAGTTTTGATTTCTTAGGTAAAATCTAAGACTGTCAGTCTTGCCAACAATGGATAATGTAATTGGACTGATTTTGCTGTCTAGCAGTGACATGGAACAGTGGTTATACCACGAATCAGAAAGTTTCAGGAGGAAAGCCAGACCTCAGAATGACTCCCGATCCCACCTGGATTCACTCCCTCAGGCTTCAGGGAACAAGGTAAGGGATGCCTGGTCACAGCTATATAACCTATATTATTGGGGTACTGTCTCCCCATCTTAGAAAGCCTCTTGTTGTCTGAAGATCTGACTAGAGTTTGGTACATTGTAAGCAGCCTAATCGTCAAGCCCTGTACTAGTTCTGTTTATTACTTCTTGGCAGGGGAAACGGGTCTGTTGCACGTGGGAAACTCCAACATGCTTTTCTCGGGGGTTCCACATTCCCATGGCCATTGTCACGCACCTCAGAAGACAAATGAGACCCTGGCATATTTCCACGAGGTGCTATCTTCTTAAAAGACACATTAAGGAAACTCTTGAATTTTATCATTTCAAATACAAGGGCTCTATGCACTACTATGTTTATTTTTTATGTTGATATTTTACCTTCTCCTTCTCTTGGAAAGAGACAGTAAATTCTCAGGAGTCCTACAAATGTAATGCTAAGTCCAGAACAACCCAATTTTTTATTTATCAGGAAGCAGAATAAAGAGATTGGGTGCAAGGAAAAAATTGTGGGGATGAAAGAAGTTGGAGGTCTCTATTCTCTCTTTAGGCCAAGTCTTATCTGGCCTCCACAGAACCTGTACTATCTCTTCCAGAAGCTTCTCTCTCTCTCCTCAACCGCCCACAGGGAGGGGCAGAAGTGCAGTCACTTCTGTGAATATGGGATAACTTTAGTAAAATCCAAGTACTGTGGCACTCTGGGAAAAAGATGTTCATTATTTAGAAAAAGTGGGCTTTTTTCAAAATGATGTCAGGAAAGGTAACAGGCAAATATAATCACCATTGGAGGAGAACATCTGTTAGGTACAAAACCTTGAGAAAATCCTTTCTCGTTGTTGCTAGCTAATTACAGACCCAACTGTTACTTGGGAATGGGAATAACATGCTATAAAGGTTCCGTAGAGCTCTCATATCAATTGTAGCTAGCAGAGAACATATTAGATTTGCCACTGGGAATGAGGTGCATTGTTTGAAGTCAAGGCTTTAAGTCCTTGGTAATAGTTGACTATCTCAACATTTCCAGGAGGTGTCTTCATGGACTAAGCATTCATATTACCTGAGAGCAGGAGTTTTTACCCTGGAATGTTCTAGAGCCACCAGTGCCTAGCCTCCAGTCCATGCCAGTGAAGTCAGACTCTGGCCGTGGTGCCTGAGCACTGGCATTTCTGTTAAGGGTTTCAGGTAATTCTAATGAGTAGCCAGGATTGAGAACCGCTCTTGGACTGATAACTCCTGTGAAACTGGAGAGCAGAAGATAACATGGACAAGCTTTTAGTGGTTCCCTTGATCTTCTGCTTAGGTTCCCTTTGTCCCTTTGAAATCTACCCAACCCAATGTGTCTGCAACAAATTTCTGTTCCTGAGAATAATCCATCAATTTTGAAAATGAAATGCTCAAATAGGATATGCTCTACAGTCTAGGATTTTCCAGTGATTTAATTATCTAATTACTGGAGCTGGCTGCCAAGCACAAATGGTTTTATTCCGTTTCACTATTTTATAACACAGTTCAAAGAACATTTGAATTTCTAATTCAATTTTTGTTCTTTTGAGACTAGTCTAGTGTTTCGTATATCTCTAATGATAGCTCCATTATTGGACTTATAACCACTGTGGGACTGCTGTTCATTTGTGGTATATAATACTACATATGTTGAAGGAGAATTGGTTCCGAGATAGCTTAATTATTCTAAACTGTTTTTGTCTTACGTAGACTCCCATGATTGAAAAGACAGAAGTTTGATGGGGAGGAAAGCTGAATGAGACCCAGGGAATACAAAGACAGAGGTAGAAACAGTAACAGCCAGGTTAGGAAACACCATACTTATTTTTCCCCGTGAGTCTGCGCTTTAGAACTGCCCAACCTCCCAGGCTCAAAAGCACATTTGCTCACTGTTCTTTATTCCCAGAAAGCCAGAAAAGTTGAGTAGTTCTGGAACAATAAAGAAACTTGTGTGGTTAACACAGCATTCCCAGACCTTGACCAAAGACCTTCTTTGTTTAAGAAAACTGCTCTTTTTCACAAAGCTGCACAGTTCAAGGGTTGCGAGGAGAGACAAGTGTGGGAGATCCGTCCCAGCCGGCCACAGCACCAAACTACACCCGCCACTGATGGGGTGATGCTGTAGCTATAGACATCAAGATAGCCTTGGTATGAAATTCACCTCTAACGCCTGTGAAATTCCCAGGGGAAGTGTGGCATTTATGCTAAAGCAATTCCATCCCTGTCCCCAAACCGACAAATGCTCACTTTTGAGAGCAGTTAGGTATTTCCATACAAATGATATATATGTTTTTCTTACAGGGGTGCAATGAGGAAGTAACAATTTCCAAATGGCCAGCAGATGGTGCCAAAAGGCAGGAGCAGTGAAAGGAGGGGCTTAACCTCCAGGAGCCCCAGGTAAGAAAGAACTTGGGAGCTGACGGGCCCCCTCTGAACTGCAGTTGTGTCCTTTGGCCTGCAGAGTACTTAGTAATCGGGTTTTAATTACTTTCCAACATTTTAAAATGGTGGTAATTCATGTAAAACCTATATCTCCAGATTCACTTGAAATATTGAAATATCTAGAAACACTGGATACTAATTCTAAAGGTTAAGAGCCAGTTGGAACTGAGTGGCTACCAGCCTTTAAAGGGGCCAATTTACTGTGGTCTCTCCTCCGTTTCACTTACAATTGCTGCCTGGACACTGAAGACATGTAACTTTGTCACCCCTGACACAACCCAGCCCAACCTGTACACTTCATTTCATTGCAATGTGTCTTTAAAATTGCAAAGCGAGGAGAAGCTAATGCAAAGGATGGGACCATCACAGATGATGCGATTCAATAGGGTATTTAAATGAATTTGCATCGGATGTCCAAGGTATCTGGGATGTTGCCTAAGAGACAGAGTAGCCTTTGGAGGTCTGAGCATTCGCTCTTTTAGCAACCCTCATGATCTATGCTGGGACCTCGGGGCAGGTCTCTCAAACCAGCTGCCTTTCAGTGTGTTTTCTGGTAGGCAGAGGGCAAGGAGAAATTGTTTTCTTAGCCTTCATTAGGTGGTTAAACAACATAGGGCTTGTGCCATCGCTGTGCTGAAGAAGAACTGTGATTGGAAGCCTTTTTCCTATTAGAGGAAAGGGCTCAGGAGGTTGCATCCCCATGGCTGCTCCAGGATCCTGGATACATTTATATATATATATTTTTTTTGAGACATAGTCTCAGTCTACTGCCCAGGCTGGAGTGCAGTGGTGCTATCCTGGCTCACTGCAACCTCCGCCTCTCATGTTCAAGTGATTCTCGTGCCTCAACCTCCCCAGTAGCTGGGATTACAGGAACACACCACCAGGCCCTGCTAATTTTTGTATTTTTAGTAGAAATGGGGTTTCGCCATGTTGGCCAGGCTGGTCTCGAAGTCCTGACCTCAAGTGATCCACCCGCCTCGGCCTTCCAAAGTGCTGAGATTACAGGCATGAGCCACGACACCTGGCCGTATCTTCTCGCAACATTTGGATTATGAGCGTCTGGAAGTCAGGGAGGATGTCTGTATACAGCCTAGGCGAGCACTGTATCCTCAACACCTAACCTACCAGCCAGGGCAGGGAGGTGGGAAAAGGTGCACAGAGCAAATATGTGGTCTCATGCAGAGACGTACATCTCTACCTCCTTATTATCCAGGACCAGGAGACAGCTTATTCTGCTTTGGCAGATTTATGGGATTTGTTGACCAAGATTCGTGACCTGAAGGGTCACTTACCCTGATTCCCGTAGAGTTCATACATTTCTTAACAATAGAAAAGAGCAAGGAAAGGATGGATCACAGTATCTGAATGAAATGCAGATGTTTTTCTTAACAAATCACCATGGTGGTTTTTTTTCCTTATGAATTCATCTTCTTTTCTAAACTCATAGTTCTAAATACATCACAGATCCTTGCAAAAAAAAAAAAAAAAAAAAAAAAAAAAAGCTTGGCTGACTATCCACCTTTGTGCCTGTTCAGTGTGGAGGAGGATGGAGCCTCCAGGCTGTCAGAAGGCAGCCTTCACTGGCTGTCGGCATGCTCCCTGGGGCCCCTCTCCTTTCAGCTCATCTCCAAAAGCAAATGCCCTAGAGTCTGTTCCTGCGTAACGCACACATAGCTTAAAGAAGTGGCTACAGATTGACTGTAGTTGCAATGGAAGGCTCTAGACCTGGATTGCGTGTGTGAGAGAGGAAGCCACGCTGTTACGGTTCTATATTTTCTAGGTCTCATGGAGCCCCTAGGAAAAGGAAGGTAGGAAGAGCTCAGGGCAACCGAGACAGAGGCCGCCATGCATGAGGGATACCTGGAGCTGCCGCATCTGCTGGAGCTGGAGCCTGAGTTCCGCCACGCTCCGCCTCATCTCCAGCAGGCTCATGTGGATGGCCGAGGTGCCTGCAGGTGGAGGCTGGCTGGGAGGCACTGTGGACTCCAGAGCACTGAGCGTCTTCCCACCAGACACATGGGGAGTTCCTGTGAGAAAAGTGCATCAGAGAACTCAGAAGGCCACCAAGGAAAGTCTAAGCTATGCATCCCATCCCAATGCAGATGACTGGCAGTTCTAAAAAGGCCCATTTCTCTCATTACAAAAAAAAATGCATATATATGAATCATGCAGTGTTATAGTATGCAGTGTTACAGTATGCAGTGTGCAATAATCACATTCTAGAAGTTTAGTAAGGAAGTGCCATAGGAAGGCAGGCCACAGAGCTATCTCTGCTCCCATCTATCTGTTGACTGATTGATCTATCAATTGATCAATCTTGTTTACGGTTTTTTTAAATTATTTATTTTTTTTTCTTTTCTTAACCTCTGGAAGAAGAGCCTGTTTAAACACACAGGTTTGCATAGAGAAAAGCTTAGAAGTGTATAAAATAAAGTGTTAATGGTATCTCCAGCTGTGGTATTCCAATATAAGGTGTTTTTTGTTGTTGTTGCTGCTGTTGTTGTTTTTACTATTTTTTATTTTTGAGAACAGGGTCTCACTGTATTGCCCAGGCAGGTCTCAAACTCCTGGGCTCATGCCATCCTCCTGCCTCTGCCTCCCCAAGAGCTAGGATTACAGGCATGAGCCACTGCACTCAGCCACTTTTTTGTATTTTTAAAATCTGCATACTGAATATCTGTAATTTTATAATAGAAAAAACTGATTTTAAAATTCCGAGACCTAATATAGAGTGCTTATGTGACTATTTCCTGGATGGCAAATGTAACCTAAGGACATGTAACTTATTTCTGGGCAGAGATTCGGCCAATCGCCAAGCGGAGACTAGTAAGAACTGGGTACCGTCCCGAATCCCTTCAGATTTCCAAAATCAAAAGAAGGAGGGCATCTCCACACAACTCCTTTAGTAAGAAAATAAGGCAAGATGCAAAAGCCCTTCAGGAGAGGACTCTAACAGCGACAATGTGATTCTATGGAACAGGTACCTGGAGAAGAGGCAGGATCCATGTTACTAATACGCACACACACACACACACACACACACACACACACACACACACTTCGGCTCAGTTCCCTTTCCTTTAAAGGGTCAAGTGCAAGCAGGCCAGCTGGCCTTGCAGGACAGAGCACTGCGGCCACTTGCAGACCCTGGAGTGGCTATAGTGTGGTGGTAGCCGGTCTTCCCATCATGGCTCAGCCATTTCGGGAACCTTTCCCTCTCCAGCACACACAACTCAACGAGGCCTCAGTGGAGCTCAAAGTGGCTCATGAGCCAGGAAGCTCCCTGCAACTGTCCTCTTTCTTGCTTGGCCTTGGCGACACTGATGCTGCCGGAGCCTCATTCTCTTCATCCTTCAGTGACCATCCAAATAGGGCCAGTCTCCCAGCCCCTCTAATGGCCCTCTTGGGGAGGCAGCAGGGGAGCAGGCCAGAAGGCTTTTTAAAGGACTGACAATGGAGCTCCAGGAGACCTGACAACAAGCTTTTCGTTATCTTTTTTCTTTCTTTTTTTTTTTGACACAGAGTCTCGCTCTGTCTTGACCAGGCTGGAGTGCAGTGGCTGCGATGGAGTGCAGTGGTGTGATCTCAGCTCACTGCAGCCTCTGCCTCCTGGGTTCAAGCAATTCTCCTGTCTCAGCCTCCCAAGTAGCCGGGACTACAGGTGCGTACCAAGACAGCCAGCTAATTTTGTATTTTTAGTAGAGATGGGATTTCACCATGTTATCCAGGCTAGTCTTGAACTCCTGACCTCAGGTGATCCGTCTGCCTCAGCCTCCCAAAGTATAGGGATTACAGGCGTGAGCCACCATGCCCAGCCAACAACCAAATTCCTTTATGGAATCTATACTCATTTTTAAAGTATCTTCATCTATAACCTCTTAATCCACTATATTTGGTTCACGTAATAGCTCCATCATTCCCTGAAATGGCTCTTTATGTTCATTTCAGCGATCTTCTAGTTGTCACCCTGTGGACTCTCTCCTAGGCTGACATGACTTTGCTTCAATGTGACACTGAGCTTTGTCAGCCACTTCTTTTCTTTTCAGTCACTTTGAAACTTTCCACCATCTTCTTCCCTTTCTGCTGCTCTGTCTTGGTCAAACTCTTTTCTAACTCCTTTCTCTGCCAACCTTTTAAGTCCTGATATGTTGTGTCGCTGGGTCCACTTCTCTTCTGGATGGACATGCTTTCTAGGGAGGTCACTTCTGCTACCACCACCTGCCAAGGTCTCCCGCACCCTCGTCTGCAGCACACAATTATCTTCAGATCCACATACCAATGCCTTCACGCCACTACTGAACTTTTCCATAAGTCAGTCAAATTCATTATTTCCACTCGTCTTCCCCAAACCTCTTTCTGTCTCTATGGGCCTAATTTTATTATATATATAATTTCAATAGTTTTTGAGGAACAAGTAGTTTTTGGATACATGGATGAATTGTATAGTGGTGAAATCTGAGATTTTAGTGCACCCATCACCCGAGTAGTGTACCTTGTATCCAATTTATAGTTTTTTATCCCTCACCCCCTCCCATCCTGCCTGCTTCTGAGTCTTCAATGTCCATTATAATAAGGGCCTAAGTGGTACCACTATCTACTCAATTATCAGCCAGGCAGGCTGTCACTTTTTTTTTTTTTTTTTTTTTTTGAGACAAGGTCTTGCTCTGTCACTCAGGCTGGAGTGCAGTGGCTTGATCTCGGCTCACTGCAGCCTTGACCTATTCAGGATCAAGCAATCCTCCCACCTCAGCCTCCCAAGTATGTGGGACTATAAACGTGTACCACCATGCTAATTTTTTGTAGAGGCAGGGTCTTGCAGTGTTGCCCAGGCTGGTCTCAAACTCCTGGTCTCAAGCAATCCTCCCACTTTAGCCTTCCAAGGTCCTGAGATTACAGGCATGAGGCACCATGCCTGACCTGGCTATCATTCTTACTAACTGTGTGGCTTTGGATAACTAACCTAACCTCCCTGAGCTTCTGTCTCCTTTCATGCAAAATATGGGTAATGACATCTTCCTTATAGGGTTTTGTGTGTTAAATGATCTAATGCGCAGTATAAAAATCTTTGAGATAGGAGGTTCCATCTGTTCTCTCTCTACAGTAAACTACACATTCCTTAAGTAGCCAGGAAGTCTAGGTTTTCCTTTACTCTTGGCCAGATGAGTTCCTTGACTTCTATATAATTCCATTTACTTGTCTACAGAACAGGGATAATACTTGTCTTGTAGCTTACTTCCTAGGATTCTGGAAGAATTATTCTATTTTGTGCACTATTCAAGGCTGCTATGGCAACGAAACCCCTGTGGACGATATCTCACCCTGATACGTTAGAGTGAGAAAGTCCAAACCTAGCAGAGACGTGGGGAGTGAGCCCACGTGCACATCGCCAGTGGCATTGCAAATCAGCTCAGCCATTCAGAAGAGAAAACTAGCAGCGTGTCACCATTGCCACTGAACTGCCCCTTTGGATTCACTGATTCCACTTTGGGAAATATATCTGAGGAAATGGCACTGGCTCCTTTCCCCACATTTGAAAAGAAATTGACAAGAGGTTTTAGAACAAAGAAATGAAACCACCTATAGATCTTTAAAGGGACTGAGGAATCTAAACATAAAAGGAGTTAAAATGACAGGCATATGATGATGTGTGTCATGTGTGTGGATATGTGTTCAGTTTTCTTCTCTGGAACATGAGAATAAAAATTGTATCTCTCCCTGGGTGCTGCGGTAAGGAGTTCATGAGTGAATGCATGAAGAGCACATAGGAAGCACTCACTACGTATTTATGATGATTATTATTCTCTAAAAAGCAAAAAGAAATAAAAGGATCATACAAAACAGCACGTAGATTCTGATTAGAGCAGTGCTTTCAGATATGAGTCATTTCTAGAATGGACTACAGAAGGATGGGAGCTTTTAATATTTAGTAGTTTCCTTTCTTCTCCCTAAGTTTGCAATACATTTTAAAAAATGAATAAATTAAGTATCTCCGAAACAAACTGGCAATTGCTCTGAAGACAAGTTTAGCAATTTCCGTGAAATAATTCTCTGGCTTCGGCCAAGGCCACGGATTCATTTCTACGCAACACAACAAATCCCATCAGGATCAGGAACGCTGGCAGAGTGAACCTGTTGGCCTTGTAGCTAAATTATGCTCAGCCAGAGGAGAACCACGACCAACAGAGTCCTAAACTGAAGTTTCAAATCTGTCTACTCTACCGTGCTGCACAAAACTAGTACACGTGGCTTCCCTAAATTTGGGGTTTCACCCAACTTGCCATATGCTTTCTGTGTAATTTAGTATCTGAATGTGTTCCTGCTAAGGATTTCTATTTCTAACCCGATGAGAGGGAAGACCTCATCTTCTTGCAGAGGCCTGGCTTGAGATTGCTGGATGAGACATTCATTGCAAAGACCTGGATACTAGTGAACGCCACTACTAACAGAACTGGGCTCTCTTTCTGGGGAATGCTGGAATTTAAAAAGCAGGCCCTGTCATCTGTCATGAGATTAAAAGGATAAAAAGCAGGCCCTAGGCCAAATACTCCTTTTTCTCCCATCTGGACACTGGTCATTCCTTATTGGCTACTGTCCCTTCTCATCCATCCCCATATTGCAGCTGGGCTGATGTCCTTCCCCAGTGTACAACCTTCCAATGGCTTCACGTTACACTTAGAACAATTTTAAATTCCCTTGACTGGACAACCCTTCTTCCCCCTAAGTCCTCTTCATCCTTCCGGGCTTAGTTTGTGTCACTTCATCCTTCCAGGCTTAGTTTGTGTCACTTCCTCTGGGGACTGCCCTTGGTATAGGCTAGTCCTATTGGTGAAGCATTTATCCTGCACTTTTAAACACTCGACACACATAAAATTACTTGTCCCATTTCCATCTTCCCCGTTGAATTCTAAGTTATAGGCAGGCAGCCCCATGTCTGCGAGATGCCCACCGTATGGCCCTATCAATAAACAAATGAGTGAATGAATGAAAACCAAAGGGAAAAGACGGTGCTTTGCCCCCTGAATTAATGAATAAATCTGGAATTTCAGTATTAGCAGGAATATCTAGGAATCCTCTGACATCGTACCAAATAAGTGACTTAGGGAAATGTCAAACATTTCTGAGACAAGTCAGGACTCATCCCAGGCAGCCCACAGGCCTCCTACAACTCCAAAAACACTCACTTACCTGCACTGTCTGTGTGGTTCCTGTTGGCTGTGGTTTTCATCATTTTCTCGCTGAATAAAAGAAAAAAAGAGTCAGCTATGCAGTTTCCAAAATGCCTTTTTTTTTTAAAAGCCCATTCCATTCACTATTTGAAGCAATTGGCAGTGATGGGATTAAGCAATGAAGGTATTTTAGCATCAGCATCACAATTGGCCAGGATGGAAAAGGCTTCCCAGGTGTGCACCTGACACTGGGGGTGGAATGCAGCCAGGCTCACTTGTGACTTTCAGATGATGGCGACGTGGACACGCAAGGGTGGTGGTTGCAGGCACTGCATGGTGAGTGGTCCATGAAGCCACATGCACTGGGAAGCCCATTTACCTTCTTGGGCCAAAGTGTTACCTTCGACCAAGAATTACCAGAAGGAGGAAAAAAAAAAAAACCAAACCAACCCCTAAAAAACAAACAAACAAAAACGCCCATGATCCATAGAGATGTGAATATTTTCAGCCTTGAAATGATTACAAGGAAACAGATTTGAATGAATGAATTATCTTAATGATTAAAAGAGAAACAGATTGAATTATTGTTTTTCATTGGCTTTCTTCTTTTTTACCTAGATGCATCTTTGCTATAACTTGTAATAGGCCCTTTAAAAAGTGCAGACTGAACGAGGCCAGTTAAACTGGCAATCTGTTTCTCCATGGCTTGCATCCTCTCTCTGTAAAACAAGAGAATTGTTTGTTAAAGCTCTATTGACTTTCAGACCGGTTTGTCCAGGTGGATGCACCACCCAATGGTTATAAAAGGTACCACCTAGAAGGCCGTGGAAGTTCACCCAACCTGGCTCAGGAACGTGAAGAGCCGCACATCCCCAGCTGAGGTCAAGATTCGTGATCAGTGTTCAGTATCAAGTCAGTGACCTGACTGGCTAAAAAAAAGACATAGCACGGACCAACAGGGGCCTCCTGGAAAAATGAAAAACTTCTCCCTTGGAAACAACCCTGTTTGCACATCCTGTGTTTTTTGAGTCTTTCTGCCCTGCTTTCTTTCTTTCGCCTTGCACAAAAGGGCTGTTTCCTAGTATGGCAGTGTCCCAGGCCAGATCTCACTGAGCTGCACACATTTCTATGCTGTACACCTCAGCTGGGAGGCTGCTGAGTGGTTTTGGTATAAATGATGGAGATGTTTGCTGTGTGGGTAGTAACACTTGTGTCATAGCTTAAGGGCAACACAAACATGTCTTTCTTTTTTTTTTTTTTTGAGATGGAGTCTTGCTCTGTTGCCCAGGCTGGAGTGCAGTGGTGCCAAATCTGCTCACTGCAAGCTCCGCCTCCCGGGTTCATGCCATTCTCCTGCCTCAGCCTCCCAAGTAGCTGGGACTATAGGTGCTCGCCACCACTCTTGGCTAATTTTTTGTATTTTTAGTAGAGATGGGGTTTCACCTTGTTAGCTAGGATGGTCTTGATCTCCTGACCTTGTGATCTGCCTGCCTTGGCCTCCCAAGGTGCTGGGATTACAGGCGTGAGCCACCGTGCCCTGCCATGTCTCTTCTTTAGATAGTGGAGAAATATGACTGAAACCTGTCCGGGCACGGTAGCTTAGGCCTGTAATCCCAGCACTTTGGGAGGCTGAGGTGGGCGGATCACCTGAGGTCAGGAGTTTGAGACCAGCTTGGCCAACATTGTGAAACCCCATCTCTACTACCAAGATCGCACTACTGAACTACAGACAGGGCAAAAGAGCAAGACTCTGTCTCAAAAACAAAAAACAAACAACAACAAAAAACCCAAGTATTTGAAAGTAGATGATGTTGGATCTAATGTCATCGGAACTTTAGCCTGGAGGCTTTTACAGAATCGTGCAGGAAAACGAGTATCCCTAACAGCTTGGCCATCTCAAGACGTTAATGAAAAATTTCCCAATGATTTCCATACACAGATAATGCTCCCTTCTCTCCAGGGCTCTTTGATGCTTCATTACAGTTTAACTGGCATTTGAAATAGGCTCACATTTCTAGACCTCAGACAACGGACGTTTTGCAGAACTATTGCCATTGTTTTCAACACATCGTTAAAAACAACAATACAAGTAAGTGAATAGAGGCTTCACATGTCACCTCATGTGAATTCAGTTATGCATACTTCGTAGTCCAAAACAGGAAAAGGAGAAAGAAGAACAATGTATATGGCATGGCATTGCCTGTGCTGTTATCTCTCATGAGTGACTGTCCTTGCACGAGCCTGAGATAAGAGAAGGGACCTCACTCCTCACTGCGGATCTCAGTCCCACAGACCCCTGGGTTTGTGAGTGATGGGATTCCTGTTCTGCAAACAGTATATTCTTACACTATTAAATACAAGCTGGTTAATTTATCTGATTCTCAGTGGAAGAAGTAATGGTGGTCTGGCCAGGCATGGTGGTTCATGCCTGTAATCCCAGGACTTTGGGAGGCCCAGGTGGGTGGATCACCTGAGGTCAGAACTTCGAGACCAGCCTGACCAACATGGTGAAACCCCATCTCTACTAAAAATAGAAAAATTAGCTGGGTGTGGTTGTGTGTGCCTGTAATCCCAGCTACTCAGGAGGCTGAGGCAGGAGAATCACCGGAACCTGGGAGGTGGAGGCTACAGTGAGCCAAGATTGCGCCACTGTACTCCATCCTGGGTGACAGTGCAAGACTCTGTCTCAAAAAAAAAAAAGAGTAATGATGGCCTGTTCCTTCACAGAAAAAGTCAGCTGATTAAGTTGGGCTCTTTTTGAGAGGTGGTGCATCTGCATCCTAAACTTTATGACAATCAAGATGATATTCAAGGGTAATTTTGTCCAACTCAAGCATTGTAGCCTTGAGTTTTGCCTTTGGAATGTAACTCTCAGTGCCATGTGTAACACTGATCTTAATTTTGTAACTGTAAACCTCTGATATCAGAACTCCACACATTTTCTTTAGTTTAAAATTGATGGTCTGTCACAATACTGAGTTTCTTATATGTAAGTCACGCAGTCTGGATAGTTAAAGGTTGCAAATCCACCAAGGAGGGAAAAAAACACCAAGTAATTTTAAGTATTAATAGTATGATCTCTCTGCTGTAATACAGTGGAAAGAAGAAATCTCAAATGGTGAGCGCAGAAATGTATCTCCCCGGAGTGATTTGCAAATGTTTCCAGGTACACCAGTTGATGCTAAACCTCCCAGCCATACAGGATTTCAGTCATACCTTGGCGCCCTCTTTGCCATAAAATAGTCCACATTATCAAAGGGAAAAAATGGTTAGAAATTCAAATAAGGAAAGCCAGTTAGTGAATATCCATCGGCAAGGTCAAGCTTATTGACCCAAGTCACAGTGGCATCTCAGAAAAAATGGGAGTGGTGGTTGGTCACTCTTCCTGCCACATGGGAGACACAGACTTGCACAAACTCTTGGGAAATGAATGACTTCCTCGGGAGAATGCTCAGTCCCAGGTGAAAGTTGCCCAGAGTCCTCATTCGTCCCACAGGGACTCTATCCACAGTGGTGCTGGAGTACAATGAATGACACTAAGAGCAGAGGTGCACTCAGGGCTACCTTGAGATGTACTAGTTTACTGCTCTTCTTCAATCCTAGGCAAATGCAAAGGATATTTCTTTAAGAAAAAAAAGGTAACATGGCATTTTTAGAGTCTAGAGAGCTTTGGTAAGGAAGTGGCTTAAAGGGTTCTGTACAGCTGGAGTGTGGGACAGAAAGGCATGATGACAACCTTAGTACATGCAGAAGACAGTAATATTAAGAAATGCAAGAAATAGGTAGGTCTCATTTATGCAGAGACTAAATAAGACTCTGCTAAGAGGGAAATGGCAGAGGGGAGTCCTGGGATTCCATTGCTGGCCATGAGAACAATGCTGGTTAGCGCTAGACCAGCCTTCTTTCTGCTTCCAGTGTGGTCAACAGGTTTCATTACATTGTCCAACAAAGGAGAGCATCAGCATTAAAAATTGAAACAGGCCGGGTGCAGTGGCTCATATCTGTAATCCCAGTACTTTGGGAGGTCAAGGCGGGTGGATCACTTGAGGTCAGAAGTTCAAGACCAGCCTGGCCAACATGGTGAAATCCTGTCTCTCCTAAAAATACAAAAATTAGCTGGGTGTGGTGGCGCATGCCTGTAATCCCTGCTACTCGGGAGGCTGAGGCAGGAGAATCACTTGACCCCAGGAAGCAGAAGTTGCAGTGAGCAGATTGCACCACTGCACTCCAGCTTGGGCAACAGAGTGAGACTGTGTCAGAAAAGAAAGGAAGGAAGGAAGGAAGGAAGGAAGGAAGGAAGGAAGGAAGGAAGGAAGGAAAGAAGGAAGGAAGGAAGGAAGGAAGGAAGGAAAGAAGGAAAGAAAGAAAGCACTTGAATCATTCTGGATAAAGAACATTGGTCTTCTACTGATTCATCCTTGAGTTGAGAACTGTAGAATGTCACAACACAGACCATGTCATCTGCACATGGAAGTCCGTGGGGCTGCAGACACACCTTCAGCATGCTCCTTGGCTCAGTGAGTACTCAGTTTCTACCCTGGGCTTCCACCAGATAATAGTTTTAGGGTGCAGAGAGAGACAACTCCCAAACAACATTCTATTCTTCTTTAGGGCTAATATTGACAGAGTTGCAGAACTGCCTGGCATAAGAGTTTGGGTGTTTTTAGAACAAAAGGGCTATACCCACTCCAGGTACCCACATGCTTGGCTTGCCTTTTTGTATCTGTGAGGAAGGGAGTGAAGGCTCCCTGGGTGGCCTCTTTCAGGATATGTCACCTGCAAGGTCACCAGGAAAGAGACATGCTGCATCAGAGATTCTGAGTCAGGTGGCTTCTCATCTGACATCCCCCCTGGAGAGTTCAGATGTTTGACAGTAGAGGGGAAGTCATCCTCTTCCTGGTGGGAGCAGGCAGTACACACAGCACCGAATACATGTGTATGCTCTACTGTCTTGGCCAAAGCCACTTCACAAAAATACAATTCTTTTGACACACGGTAATGAGAAAACATTTTCCCTCCTATTTAATCATCAAATTGTGTCTGCTTTCAGGATTCATTTTGGGGACATTATCTGATTTATACATTCATAAATAAGATTGCCTTTCCATTTTATGGTTGGTAATCTGGAAACAATTTTATGGTTTAAGTAAATGACAGCAGTGGAAACTTATGCAGCCTTCTCCCAGGATGAAATTGTAGGAAGTGTGTTTTAAAGTTGAAAGGGAAGAAAGCAAAGTGCCACGGAAGAAGAGAAATGAACACAACCCTGTCATTTTATTGCAGGGGCAATTTTGCATGCTCATCATCAGAATATTAAAGACATTTAGGCTCATTCTTGCCAATATCACTTGGTTTAAAATATGACAGGACTGATACAATTACTGTTGAAAAGATGGCTTAAAAATGATTTCATAAATCATTTTATATCATTCCACAAACCATATTTATGTGATTAGTGTATATGGTTAACTAGTCATTTAATGTCTTAAGTCAGCTTGGCTGAATGAGTCTTCTCATGATCCAAACATAATATTAATAAAAAACTCAAGTCACATTCAGGGAAGTGCTGTTTCCAGTGTTAAAACGATTACTCCAAGCAACTTTCCTGCAAGCTCCATGTCTGTCTATGAAGAGGAAGCAAAATTCATACTGTTGGTGGTCTGTTCTGTCTTTGCAACACAGAAAAGAAAAAAAAAAATCTGTGTTTAGGGGATGATTT